ACATGTAATTACTAAAATTCTGAGGCACACCAAAAAAAAGTAAGTATAATTTTGATTCATTCACACTGGACAGCTATTGTTGTGTTGGCTGCTGTCATTTTTTATTTGACAATCTAAGGGAAAAGAGGTCAGTGCTCCAGACTAGTCAGGCATGTTTTAAAAATCCTCATGGCACACAGGTTGAAAATCACTGTTCTATGATATAGGGAAGTACTTATAGGACAAAAGCCCCTGATTTCAGTGAAAAGGTGTTTCTGAAATCAGTGAATATTACAATCCTATTTTTAAAAAATATGTATTAAAAATACTTGGAAAGACACATGCCAAAGTATTAACAGTGGTTCCCACTGAGGAGGAATTGGTAGGAAGCTTGGAAATGAGAATTTATCATTTTTCAATTTCTTTACAAGCATGCACTTTATAACATACAGTGTGCAAATTACACCCCCCCCAAACCCCATCATCTATGGCATACAAACAAGCATTAAAAATAGTGCACATAGGCCCTGGCCAGTGTTGCTAAGTGGTTAGAGCACTGGCCCCCGCACTGAATGGTCACGGGTTCAATCCTGGCCGAGGGCAAGTACCTGAGTTGCAGGTTCGATCTCCGACCCCGGCTGGGGTATGCACAGGAGGCAATGAATCGATGTTTCTTTCTCTCCACCCTCCTCCCTTCTACTCTCTCTAAAAATCAATGGAAAAAATATCTTTGAGGATTAACAAAAAGTTGCACACATACCTGGTACTATCTTATTAGCCACTAGGTAAGTATCTTATTTTAAAAAGTGTTTTAATGGACTCTAGGTTAATCAACATTGCAAAAAAAAAAGAGTAAAACTTACCTCTAATTTAGTCTTGATGTATCACAAGACTATTTATTTCAACACCACATTTGTCCAATTTCGAACTTGAATTTATTTCCATATATTTCAACTAAGTATTTCAGCTAAAATATTTCAACCGCTACACTGGAAATATTTAAAAACATATTATTACAGAGCTACATTTTCGTGTCATATTAAACCCATCTGAATTATTTAATGGCCACAGGCCTGCATCATGATGCCCATGCCAAATGTGCAGCTCTCCGTTTCTGCTAGCGGTTTTAGCTTTGCCTGTCCCCTGCGTAGGGGTACTGCCCATCAGGTACCCAACTTGGAAAATCAGATAATTAACTTAGGGTCAAGAGTTTGCAGAGTTCCTTTACTTTTAAAAATCTTTCCATATATTAAAATTCAGTGTTAAAAAAAAAAAAGCTTATGTGGAAAAGGACCTGACAATGTGTAGATTTTTCAAAACCCTCTAAATTTGAACATGAAATTCTGGAAGCTGATGTTTTCAAATGTTTGATGTCATACTGAGTTCAGGGCAACTGGATTTTTATTGCAAGAGTTTCACTACCTGAAGTTTCCATTCAGTGCTTGAGTGAAAAGCAGTCCTGCTCAGTAAGCCCTCCAACCTATGCTTGTGATATTTCTGATAGAGCCCATTCTAACAGTGGATTAATGTAATATACTAAGTTGTTTTGTTTAAATAGAATTGTGCTATCTTTTTCATTATAGATTCCACCCCACTGGTTCTAGTTCTTAAAATGTTTGCACAACTGATCATACAAACCCAACAACCAAGAAACATTAATAATTGTCTTCTGTACTTTACTAAACACTTCGTGTTTAATATATTTTAAATTATAAAGAAATTACAAGGAACTCCTAAAAAATTTTATACAAAAATATTACAAGTTAGGACAAATAGCATTGAGATATGACATTTGATAAGAAACATGCAGAAAAAGTAGCATAGGGTTAACATTTCATTGTTGACAGAGCGCTTTGACAGCAGAGAAAAAGCACCATAAAACTACTGTCCACAGTGTCTTTTCCTCCACTGCATTTGCAAATGAATATACCGAGGAAACAGTAAACTTGAACCTGGTCTGCTATGTTATCATCACAGGTAAGAAATCTGACCTATTGTAGTTCTTAAACTATGAAATTAAAAATAACCCCTCCTATGACTACTCGATTTGACTTCAGCTTTACCTCAAGCTAATATGGATTATGTTCCTTAGTAGACCAACCCTTTTTGAAGTGTAAAATGCAGAATACTATTAACAATCTATGCCGTGCAGTAAAAGTTAACCCTTTGGAAACTAAAGCCTGTTGCAAAGCTCTAGCAACTGCAGCAGCATATCATTTAATAAAACATGACAAGGTATGCCTGTATTCGTTCCTGCTTAAAGAAATGGAAGTGAAACACCTGGAGAATACAAGTTTTTAAAAAACAAAACAAAACGAAAAAAAATATGATCAATGATTCTTTGTTAAAAAGCCTCTAACTCTAAAGGAGTTGCAATTCATTAAAACTGGAAGGTGCATAGTATCTTTCCTAATAGATTTAAGATTTGTTAGCAACATACGCAACTAGCTACAGAGGAAATTATTAAATTACAATAGGTTTATATGCAGAAAAAAAAAAACATTAAGAAAGTTGAGCATCCTGCCCTAAAAATTTTCAACTACAACATAGTTTTGTGCTCAACGGCTAAATAAATGAATCTGAGGTCTCTTTTAGTTTGATTATGTGAAACAATGTCCTTTAAGTACACTCTTTTTTCAAAATAATTCAAAATTATTATTCCTTAGTTGATTAAATGCTCTATTTTTCTTTAATAAAAATAGTAAATAACCCTTTCATTTAAAAAATCTTATCTCCGGCAAGAAGTAATAAAATAGTAAAATTTGTAAGTTTATCTATGGACTTACTGTAACCTATGTATCTTGGAAAACAATGTATTTATGAAAACAGTGGTTTGAGTTTTCATGGCAGTTGTTATAATTGGTAACACCAGTATGGGAGAGAACAGACATGTTATATGTTATGAAGTCTAACTCAGAGCAAAAAAGTTTATTCTACAATAGAACATTGAAGGAGTAAATGCAATTAAAATGTAAACAAGAAATTGTAAACAAGAAAGAGCATCCCTCTCTCTTTACTTGACTAAATAGTCTATACAAACTACATAGATATCAAAGGTCTTATATATGTACACAGCCAACATAATATCAAAATATATTTTATTCTGGACCTCTTTCAGATCTGATTCAAATTACAGTTGTCAAAGCAATACAATGCAAAGGGAAACCGCAACAACAACAACAAAAAATGTGCCTAGAAAGGATAAAGGGTCATTGGGGACAAATCATTGTGATGTGGAACCAAAATACATCGTAAGTGTAATTAACATGGTCCAGGACAGCATAGAACATCTATAATCAGTCTTCCTTACACAATAATCATGAAAACCAAACAATAAAGTTCTTCAACATGTACAAAAAACTGTCATGGGCTGGTTTACACTTTTACAACAGTTTTAAAGTTAACTGGATAACTAAAGAAATGATGCAGACATTTTAATCCAGTGCTATAGGTAGGCTCACAGAATTAGACCCAAAGGATTTGTAAAAATCAAAATTAGAACATTATAGCTACAATGTCAAAGTCAGGAAAGAAAATTACTGCAGTATTTAGGGATTACAGAACTACAAAATGCAGTCTGTGTTTTTGTTTTTAATGAGATGGATAAGTACATCAGACTAGATACAACATGCAGAATGTTTTTTTGAACTTATCCAGAAAATTCAAAGAAAACATCATGAAACAGCTTACTAGGAGAAAAAAAAAAAGCCTTAGTTATTCACCCTGCTTCAACACTGTCAACATAAAGGCAGAAATAAAGAATGCTATTAATACTTCAGAACTACTGATAATAAGACATCAAATTTCTAAATCAGTGTATTAAAAAAAGTGAACACTTTCTCTTTTCTCTCTCTCCTCTAAGTTAACTAGAATCATGTTAAAACAAACAAACAAACAAACAAACAAACAAACAAACAAACAAACTGATACTGAATGTGACACTTCAGAGCTACTACCGGAAGGAGTATTAACTCTTAACTTCCCTACCCTCCTTCCATACCTGCTGATTCAGAAGGGAAAAACAAACAAAAAGAAAACAAAACAAACAAACAAACAAAAAAAAAAACAAATAAACCCACAAACCAACCAGGGTCTCTTGTAGATTTGCTGCTATTCCCCAAAATGTTGGCATTTGCTGCCATGCCACAATGTTGGTCCACTGAATAGGATTTCTGTGGAAACTGTCAATAGTAATTCACCAAATACAAGTAGCATCCTTAGCCTGTGAGAATAAATGCAGGTTCTATAGAAGTGTACAGTGTGCTTAAGAAAATGAAAACTGTTTTGAGAAGAGTAAATAGCACTGCATTTGAAATTTATTTTGCTGCTTCTCTAGTAAAACTTAGTATTTTTGCTCACATAAGGATGGGCATTTGTGATCCTATTAAATAGCAAAAATGCATACTCCTCTCCAGGCCTCTATTCAATAGTTTACATTACTCTTAAAATCATTCTACATAAACAGCTCCTTAAAAATAGTACTCTCTCATTAAATCTAATTTGACAGAAAGAAGTTTAAGGAGAAAAGGAGTGCTTTATAAGTGAAAATATACAAATCTTTGGCCTTTCTCTTGACATTTTTATATGTCAAAAAGCAAACAAACAAAAAAAAACCCTTCATGTAATTCAATCTTATGATTACTTTTGCACCATATTTTGTTTTTACACCACAAAAGGAGGCACTTTCAATATCTATAAAAGGTGTTTAATCCTAAAACATACTTAGAAAATAATTAAAACAAAATTCAATACATTCTAAGACCTAGCAGGAAATGAAGTTACCACTTCTAAAAGTCATTTGAAAGTCAATGATGGTACCTGGTCAACAATAGAAAATGGGGATTGGAGCAAATATAAAAGCTTATGGGATTTCCTACAGGGAGAACAAAAAAGATATTCCTTTATGATGTTTAGGAGTGACAGCTGCTCTTTATTCTATTTTAATCAGTGAGTATTCTATTCATTCAAGTTTTCCTTTCTGTCTTTCTTTATGAGAAGTCTCTTAACAATAGCCTAAACAACGATACCATAATGAATACCACAGAAAATCTACTGGAGTTGGTTGAACTTCAGGAATAAGTTGTTGGAAAAAAAGAAATAAAAGAACAAATGAGCAAGAACCTCAAATATAAAACTTTACGGGCTGTGAAACTTGGTCTCTCACAATCATATTACTGCTCAAATTAGAGGCAATCTGGTTTCTGTCTATGGAGCAGCATCGTGGCATATCAGCAGGCAATGATGACGCTGAGAACAGCAGCAAAAATAAACACCTGTATGCTCATGAAGAACCCACGCCTACAAAGTGGACACCTTCCAGATAAAGTTTATACTTAAAAGACCCAAGACACCAGGATAATAAAGTTCTGTATTTATAATCTTTCATATGTCCTATTGTGGCTATTATGCTTAAGTAAATAGCTAAAAAATTTTTTAAAAAAAGAAAGAAAGAAAACCAGAAAAGATGACAATACCATAAAAATGTAGCTGTCTGTGTTGGCAGCTATATTGCAGAACTTCTTGACTATCTTTTAATCAGCTGGCAAAAAAAAGTCAGTAACTGTATGCAGATGAATAAATTGTCAATATCAAAATACAAAAGTACTATCAATAATCACCTCTGACTTTCAGATTTAAATTCAGTGCAATTGACAAATGCATCGCTAAAGGAAAATGCAGCTTAAACATACTCAAAACATTTGTGTCTATTCCTGGGAGCACATTTAAAAATTATTGCACAGATTTTTTTTATTTTTATTTATTTTTTTAAAACAACAACAGAGGTCAATCACAGATGTGGACCTCCAGCAATAAAAGCAGGATTTCAAGTGCCAGATACTCAGCGTATTAGGTTTCCTACATAAGTCACAGGGTAATAGTTCTAAGTATCTATAATGTGATCCAAACCCTAGAAACAGCTGGCACAAAACCATCATGAATGACTGCCTCTCTGGATGTAAATTTTTAAAAATATTATTACAGTATCATAGTCCCCACTAACAACAACTGGGGTACATATAACAATGTATTATGGAATTAAGTGTATTTATTTTCTTTAACAATAGCAAATGCTACCCTACCTTAGTAAAACCAAGACTTGCTTCAATCAATGCTCTTTTGTAAAAATAGCGAAACCACAAATGCTGAAAATCAAAGCTGCATTACTTGGGCTAAATCAGTTTCTACTTAAAGTATAGGTTAAAATTTTAGTAGCAAAGGCCTCAAAATAATTAGTGATGGGAATAGTGTTATAAATTTGCTAAGCTTGATAATAAGCAATTCCTTAATTAAAATCTTTGAGATATAAATTTGACAACTATTCTCTTCAAAACGGACAGTTCTGGATACTTACATTACCCATCACCAACCCTGCTCATCACACACATAAGCACAGTCCCGTGCTATCATTTGTCAATTCTGTCAACTTTCACTTTTAGCAATGAGCACAAGAGGAGGTGTGATCTGACACCTACATCCTTAAGAAAATACGTGCTAATATAAACAGAGTATAAGACATGATATAGTAGTGATTACTGGGGGGAAAAAAATAGCAGCTTAAACCTATCTATATTTGAAAAAAATGTAGTCACAAGTACCACAAATGCAGAATCAGAGCAGCAGGGAGGTTAGTGCAATTATACTTTAAAAAAAAAAAAAAAAATCTGAATCACTGCTATTTAAAAACACCTTGAAGCAAGTCTTTTGTTTTAAAGATTGTTTTTAAACTAAGGTAGCTAACATTTTGCCATGTAATGGCAGTGTTATATGCCTTTATCTTGCTTTGTATAAGAAAAATAACATGAGAGATTCTTAATACTGGAGTTTGGTTATATTACATAGTTAAGCTTCTACACAGAATGATGGACACTTTGAGAAGCTAATCCTTATCCAGAAACATTTTAATCTCTTAAAAAACAAAGCAAAACAAACAAATAAACAAACAACAAAACCCCCAAAGCTACTTTGCTCCTTTTACAATAGTGCACATTTTAACCATAATTTAGTTATGGCTACAAAACATCAGAAGATTTTTTTATGCATCTTCTCTATGGTATTAAAAAAAATTTTTTTGTGCCCTCCTAGTCTTTAATTGGCAGAAATATGTCCCAAAATAGAAACTACTGCATTTAAGCCACATCACAAAACAAAAACAAAACAAAACAAAAAAACGAAACAAAACAAAAAAAACAGAGCATAATACCCTTTTTCACTGATGTGTCTTACAGATTGACGTAACCAAAGTCATATATTTTCATTTAATTTCCAATTTCCCCTTTCACAACATGCACCAATTGAATATATGCTCTGGGAGCCATAAAATGTACCAAACATTTATCTTTTCAAAAGAATGCATTAAAATATTTTTAAGAATTTTTTGTTTAAAAGGTGAAAAAAAATATAAACAAAAAACTGATTCACTCCCTTACTTCATGCATCCATAAACTAAATCAAAAACAAGTTTAAAAGCAAGAACAAACTACTGCTGCAAGTTTTTGTAAGTCCATTTTCTCTGTACATACAAACTGCTCAACTATTGAAGGGAAGAAAAGAATATAATCCATGGTGTCTGCTGATTCAAAGGGAGAAACAAGGCTGTCATTAGTTTCCAAAAACTGGTACATGTATGGGCTGCTTTTATAATGCATATTTCTTTCTTCTGTTTTTCATATCCAAAACTTCTAAATGCTATTTTAGGGGCACAGCAGATTAGATTCCAGCACTTGGTGAACAGAATTCACAAGCTGTGACAAATTTCTGTCATCTTCAGGGTGCAATTTTGTGTATATACACTGTACGTATATATTTCTTTTAGATTTGGCTGTAGTGGACTGGCCATGGTTCAAGTGGGACTATAGCAGTACATGGGTCAGGGACAGTCATTTTGGCTATGTACACATTCATAGTCGGTCCATGGCTTCCAACTAGTAGCGCTATTTCCGAAGGTCTAATACACAAACCTGTAAGAAATTAAAATAATCAACCAGTGTGTTAAGGATTTAACCATATATTTTTAGCTTAACTTTTCTATAACAGAGTTTGGAATCTATTTCTTGGTTGCAAGTTCATATAACTGATAAAGCAATGGGCCCTTAACTAACAGAAATCAGCTAAATCGTCCAAGGAGCTGGAGGAAACGATGGGCTAATACTAGCGGAAGAACCATGGCTAAAACTGTGAGGATGATTCTGTTAACTAAGCAGCAGAAAAAATATGCTCAAAATAGACCATTTCCTATCTCTTGGATCTTAACAAAAGATACTACAAGTTATATTAAGCTACAGTTTCAATAAATAGCTAATGGCTAATACCCTTTCTATCTTCCCTTTGCTCTCAGAGCTTTGGAACACATAACTAGTATTTCGGTGAAAAGTTAGCCAACCTCATCCTGAGAGTCTCTCAGTATCAAAAGCAGGACTCAACTGCCTCTATTTACCCTTCCCTGGACCACCCACTCTTCTGTAGGGAAGAGAAAGTAGAAATAGGCATTAAAAATTCAGATCTCTCAGGGTGGAATTCTGCTGCTTGTAGTTTTACTAATGAAGGTTTACTTAAAAATAACTGTCCAGCCCTGGCCAGTTTGGCTCAGCAGTTAGAGCATTGGCCTTCAGTCCAGAGAGACCCAGGTTCGGTTCCCACTAAGGGCATGTACCTTGGTTGCAGTTTTTCCCCAGCCCTGGTTGGGTCGTGCGGGTAGCAACCACTCAATGTGTCCTTTTCACGTTGATGTTTCTCTCCCTCTCCCCCCGCCCCCACTCTATCTGAACAAAAAACGAAAAAATGTCCTCGGGTGAGGATAAAAAAAAAAAACTGTCCACTTCTTGATTATGAACACACTCTTTTAGCAAAGGTAGCCTAAATTTTGTTTACATTATGTGAATGAAATGACCGTGAAAAGTATACAGCCTTCAGTAGAAAAAGATCAATACCGTATCATAAAACTTATTTTGAAGAGAACACTAAGCCACACTTATTCACTGTGCTTACACACACACAGCCCACTTCGAAACACCGTATCATACTTACTGAACCATCCGATGCACTGGCTCCAACCTTGTCTCCTGCTGCATTCCAGCAAACTTCAAAAATTCCACCTGTTCCCCTATAGCTGTGAACTAGAGCACCTGTCTAAAAAAAAAGAAAAACAGAATTTTATAAATATTAACATATTGAGGTAAAAATATTATAAGGCTTTATTTATAGCAATCAAAGGTAGGATTTAGCTTTAACTCCAAAATAAATACAAGTTCTAAAATACTAGAAATGTGATTTGACGATCCTTTTATAAAAAGATAACACCAGCCTGGCTCAGTGGACTGAGCACCATCCCATGGACTGAGAGGTCCCGGTTCTTTTCTCGGTCAGGGCACATGTCTGGGTTTTGGGCTCGATCCCCAGTAGGGAGTGTGCACAGGAGGTAGATAGATGATTGATGTTTCTCTTTCACACTGTTTCTATGTCTCTCCCCCTTCATCTCTCTCTCTAAAAAATCAATAAAAACATAAAAAAAAAAAAAAAAAAAAGCACCAGTCTGCTCTCAACAGATCATTCACACACACATTCTGTTTCTCCAGCACTGATAACCAGTCTTAGCTAAGGTACCTTTGGACTCTTTGACACAGTTAACAATAGCTAGAAGTGACTCTTTAATGTATGACTTGAAATAAATTTCCATGATGTTACTGAAAGTTGCATGAGTTTAGCCAGCTTGTAAATGAACAAAATTAAGTCAGAATTTCTTTGACAAACATTGCAAAGAGGAAGTACAATAGGTGAGTAAAGATAATTCCACTGTGAGTCAGTAAGGTATTCCATATTAACAAAAATTCCATATTAGAATAGCCCCTTAAACTATAGGAATTATGAAAGAAGCTAACAGAATATACATACGTTGTTCTTGAAAGATGGTATACTTTTAAAAAAAATAAAACTAGAACACTAACAATTTCATTATCAATTTAGCTGAATCATAACAATTATTTTATTCCTTCGGCAACAGAAACCATAATCATTCAACTGCCACTGAATAATTAAAACTCAGTACAAAAATGTATTATCCTAAGAAACCAGTCATTAAACAGGGTAAAGGTCAGAGGTTCTGCTGGGAGAAACCGGAAAACAATGAAAAATATGCTTCTAGTGTTCTGCCCTGACAAACCAAGAAAGCATGGATCTCTCAGCTTTAAAGTAACCTAACAGGCCAAACTAGAGGCAGCAGACCTATCTCAAAACAACATGTCAGCTAGACATGTACCTTGTAAATACCTCCCCAGGCAGCCAACCTTAGTATATCACTAAGGTGAAAGACTGCTTTTCTCTTCAAAGCCAGACTGGTGATACTACAGAAACCATAGAGGCACTGCCACAGCTGATCACACTGGGAAGGCTCTCCTGGTTTCTAATTTTTTTCCTACCTAAAATTTCTAACAATTTAAGAGATTAATGAATAAAAGTCTTGAGTATCTACAAGTAATTAGAAGAGAAAGGAGATCTAAAATCTGTTGATATACAAAATGTAAAATCTACAGGACAGTCAACTTTGGGGATTAAGAAAACAAAAAATTCCTTTCAAAAGTATTTATCAATTTCTAAGCTTGAATTAAGTTATAACTGAACCAAAATAGCATGGTCAAAAGCCAGAGACATGGCATTAACAAAGGCCAATGGATTATTAGCATCTACTCAAATCTGTATGTATATTCAGATCAGACTTCAACAATTTACCTGTTAAACGCCTAGGTTACGTATCACACAAGCAGTGAAAGAAACAACTTATATATAATAAAAGGATAATGACTTTCTCCTGCACTAAAAACTCACTAACTGCACTTCACTATTTTCAAACTTAAAAAAAGTAAAAGGATATGTTTGCTATGTAATAGTGATACAAGCATAACATCATGGAAAGCTGCTTAAATGCCCTTAAAACAATCATCTGCCATTAGAACGTCAAGGTCTCATATCAAAATTTCATTTACATTCATTTTCTCACAATAGAGTAAATGAGTGATTGAAAAGGCTTAAAACAGACAGATTGTCTATAGATTGTATCTAAAATGCCTCTGGCTACTCAATTACGACAGAAAGATTCATGTGAAAGGAAAGCCAACATATGGTTAACTATAAAATCCATAAAACACCTCAGAATAAATTAAGAAAAAGAGAGGTCTTTATAAAGACCTTACAGAAGGGGGGAAAAGATAATTAGGGAGACTTACAAATTTACAGTTATTCAAGCTATGCTAATGATGCAGGTATATACACAGTACCTATGAATAAACCACACAAGAATTTGGTATATGAAAGAAATGGCATTATGAAACATTAAAGGGACAATAAACAGTGCTGAGACAACTGGTTATCCATCTAGAAAGATAAAATCAGATCTCTGCCTCACACCATATATAAAAAACCAATCGCACCCTTAGCCAGTTTGGCTCAGCGGTTAGAGCATCAGCCCACAGACCAAAGAGTCGCAGGTTTGATTCTGACCAAGGGCAAGTCCCTCGTTTGCGGTTCGTCCCCAGCTGTGGTCAGGGTTGTGTATGAGGCAGTCAATTAGTGTGTGTCTCTCACATCAACGTTTCTCTCTCTCTCCCCTTCCTACTCTATCTGAAGATATTTGGAAAAACATATCTTGGGTGAGAATTTAGGAAAAAAAAAAAAACAATTGCAAAGAAGTTAAAAATAAAGTAGTGAAAGTATAAAATTAAAGAATCATTGCTTTTACACACACACATACACACACACTTGAGAAGAACAAAAAAGAAACTAAGAAAAACAGTTGCTCGGGGATCAAGACAGAAATGGGAATAAGAGTTCTCAGTGTATACCTTTTATAACATATTGAGTTGGGGGGGTGGGAGGGGGCACACCTGAATGAATAACTTAATCAAAAATAATACTTGAGCCCTGGCCAGTTTGGCTCAGCAGTTAGTGTCGGCCTACGGTCCAGAGAGACCCGGGTTCGGTTCCCGCTAAGGGCACATGCCTCGGTTGCAGTTTGTCCCCGGCCCTGGTTGGTCGTGCGGGTGGCAGCCGCTCGATGTGTCCCTTTCATGTCGATGTTTCTCTCTCTCTCTGTTCCTCTCTCTCCCTCCCACGCTACCTGAACAAAAAGTGAAAAAGTGTCCGCGGGTAAAGATAAAATAATAATAATAATAATAATAATAATAATAATAATAATAATAATACTTGAGCCCTGGCCGGGTGACTCAGTTGGTTGGAGTGTCATCCTGTACACCAAAAGGTTACAGGTTCGATCCATAGTCAGGGAGCATACAGGAAGCAACTGATCAATGTTCCTCTCTCACGTTAATGTATTTCTCTCTCTCTCTCTCTAAATGAATAAAAACATATCCTTGGGTGAGGATTAAAAAACAACAAAACTTGAAAATGATTTATGCAAAAATAGTCTTACCAAATGTGATGATACAAAGAGAAACATCCCACAGTAACTTACTATTTTGTATTTGTACTACAACCAGCTAAAAGTTTGATCATGGGAATCAAGTGACTGCTATTAAAGAAACAGTGTATGGCCTTGGCTGCGTAGCTCAGTTGGTTAGTGTCTTTCAGATTCAACAAGGTTGCCAGTTTGATCCCTGGTCAGGGCACATACAAGAAGCAACCAATAAATGCATATACATATACAGTCGTCCCTTGCCACTTTGTGCTTTGACTTTCACGACTTCCCTCTACCGCGGTTTTTTCAAATACTATGTTAGAAAAAAACGTGATACAGCGAAGCCACAAAAGTCGAAGCCACAAAGTGGCAAGGGATGACTTGCATAAATAAAGAATCCTACTTGTATAAATAAAGAATTCGCGGAAATTCATTTCTCGTGGTAGAGTCTGGAACTGATTAACCGTGATAAATGAGGGCCAACTGTATGAGTGGAACAACAAATTGATGTTGCTCTCTCTTTAATGAATTTTAAAAGAGAAGAAGACAAAAAAGAAAAGTATATGGAAAATAAAAATTAAAACATTGAAAAAAAATTTTTTTTTAAATTAAAGCAACAGGCTGTTTTTTCACTTTTAGGAAATAATCTCTACACTGCTGTCCCTAAAAAAGTAGTATAGTTTTAAGTTTGTTTCACTGTGTTCAGTCATTTTTTTATTGCTCATGAAAGGTTTTTCAAAGACAATTTTTTTAGAAAACAAAAAAATTATATTATTTAATAAATTGCATCTTAAACTCTCACATTTTATGTCTGAAAAACTGAAAAAAAAATAGAATGAAGACTCTAAATTTATTTCTAAAATCTGGTCTTTACCATGAAAATATAGCTTCAGTTGGTTTCAATCTTTACTTAGCTGCAAAAAAAAAAAGTACTCATTTAAAAACAAGAACTGAATTTATGCCACAAAAGGAACGACAACCAAAAAGGAAAATATTTGCATAGGTAAATGCTTCTTACTGAATATAAGAACACTTGACTATACTTATAAAGACATACAGACATACCTGTGTGTTCCAGATGTGCACACATTTGTCAAAAGAACCACTTGCCAGATACCTGCCATCAGGACTGAAAGCTACACTGTACACAGGCTCTTGGTGTTTTGTCAAGGTATGGATGCAAATTCCTCGGTCTACATCCCATAACCTAACCGTAGAGTCAAAGGATGCACTGACAGGGAGGAAAAAATATTATTTTATAAGTAGGGCAATACTCTCAGGGCCACCCGCAATGTACAATATTCATTCATTCCCAACAGCTAGCCACAAATTGTGAGAAGCTGACTGGGCTGTTAGGAAGAAAGTGTTCTAGAAACAAATCTATATATGAGAAAAGGCAGCTTCAGGGCATCTCCAAGTCCCTGAATTAAAACACATAAATGAACTACTTCACTATATTCCTTTGCTCTTTAAGTAATTCCTTTATATTAATCCACATTTCTGAGCACTACATTGACTATATTTTTAACTTTATAGGTTTTTTTTAATTGAAGAAAATTTATTGCACTGTGCTTCAATTACTTGAGTAATTATCATCAGCAAATATTTGATATCTCCAGACCAAAAATTCCATTATGATCTGAAACAACAAAACTCTGTTTAAAAGTTCCCATTTAAAATAATAAAAAATTATATTATTTAATAAATGCATCTAATATATATATATATATATATATATCTCCCAGCCAGTGTCGCTCAGTGGTTGAGCGTCAACCCATGCAGCAAGAGGTCACAGGTTCAATTCCCAGTCAGAGCACATGCCCGGGTTGTGGGCCAAATCTCCAGTGGGGGGCATGCAGGAGGTGACCAATCGATATTCTCTCTCATTGATGTTTCTAGCTCTCCCTCTCCCTTCCTTCCTCTCTAAAATCAATAAAGAAAAAAATTTTTTCTTTAAATATATATTCCTTACAGGATACATTCCCACTTCATGAAACCATCCCCAATTTTCTGTCAAATTTATTAGAGAAGTTTTATCTGTAAAAGACTCATGAAAGAAAAAGTAAAACATAAATATTACCTTGCTAACATAAGGTTGGCATTTGGATTATTTGTCCCCGGCCCTGTTGGACTCCACTTGATAGTATAAATTTCTTTATTATGTGCTTGCAAATCATGGACACAATTGTCCTGTTTCATACTCCATATCTAAGCAAAAAAAAATGTATAAAATTATTTTTCCATATGGAAGGTACATTTAAAACACTATCTTGCCATTTCAAAATATAAATGATATAAGCAGAACAAGGTTTAAAGAAATCAAGGGAATACTTGGAAATAAATTAAAATGTAGAATATATTTAATATTTCTCTCTTTTTAAAATGATAGTCCTTTCCAAATATTCACTATTGAGAGGCTTCCAGACTTAGCTGTAGTTCTGAGATTACTTTTGATTGAATTTTAACATTCAATAAGCTAGTTGGGTAACGTTTCTAAAATATTTAAGGCATTAGTTTTTATGCTGTCCCTTAAATAAAAGAACATTATAAATTGCTCTTAGAATTTAAAACCAGGAAATATTTGGCAACAGAAAAAATAGTAAGCAACTTACAAATAAAAAAGGATTCACATATGATACCAAAGCACGAGCAACAAAAGCAAAAAGAGGCCGAGTAGAACTACACAAAATTAAAACGTTTCTGCACAGCAAAGAAAACAGTCAGTCAAGTAAATTAAAAAGGCAACCACCTACAAAATAAAAGGGAAACCTATAGAAAATGTGCAGATCATACATCCAATATAGGGTTAATTTTCATAAAAATAAAGGAACTCCTACAACTCGACAATAAAACCTATATTGTTAGAAAAGCATCTTTACTAGCAATGTTTGTAAGGAAGCCCCATCTTGAGAGAAACTATCAAACTAAAACCACAGCAGGTATTTAAGGAAAAAACCTACCAGGTTACAGGAGAAGAAGCAGTTTTCCCTAATGAGTATGCTAACTGTAAAGGTCATCATGTCGCAGTCACTGGCATTACAAAGTCAAGAATAACATTATTTTCAGTAGTTAGTATATTGCAGGAAAGGGCTTCATTAATTTTGGAGATTAATATTAGGTTGTTTCTTTATTTCAAAATGTTTTTTTCCTCTAACTATGGTATGTGATGTGCATAGTTGTTAAGAGTTTTGCTTTTAATCACACAAGAAAAATATAAATTCATGTTGAGATGTGAATGCTGGCTTGTCAACTAGGCTCACTCAATTAAATGATTTTCTGCAATCTATCAGTTTCCAGGCAAGGGTGACACATATTACTACCAAAGCAAAATTAATGCAGTTCACAGAATCTCAAATTCATGAATGCCACAGAGATCTTCATTATATGACTTACTAATAGTGAAGACAATTTATAACAGCACATTTCTATGTATCATAATTCCCATCATGCAGCCATCCTTTTCAACGGAACTTATTTGCTATATTCAAACATTTGAAATAGTTCATTAAATATAAAGAACAAGGTTTAAGCACTCAATGAACTATAAAAGGGACATTCTAAAGAATGTTCCCATGGCCTGAGCAATGACACTGCATGACATCTCCACCCCATTTCTCCCCACTATCCAAATCACCTTCAAAGTCATGTCATCAGAACAGGAGGCCAGAAGATTGCCAGTCGGGTCCCATTTGATAGCATTCACTTCATTCTAAAAATAACAGTAAATATTTACATTTTCATTTTATAGATTGAGTTGCTTTTGGTCATTAAAGATACATACTTCAAAACCACTTTGAAACATTACTTATTCATCATAATCACTTGGGGGGGAGGGGGGCATTTCTCACCGTGTGTCCCTGGAATGTTTTAATAGGTCTGTCTTGTCCTAGTTTACAGACATGAATGCACATATCTGTACTACAAGAAGCGAAGGTGTTGTTGCTCTGCCAGTCAACATCCAATGCTGGTGCTGAAAAGATAAACGGCCAGGTTTGCATTCATTCCACATGCACTGATCTAGTTTTAAACCACGGTTGGACATTAAGTATGCTAACAGAAACATAAAATTCTACTCTATACGCTTAAAAATAGAATTCTAAAAAATTATATCCAAGTATTAAAAATATTAATAAATTTCAGTTTAGTTGCCTCAATGTCGGACACAGACAGAAAGCACACTGGCTTGGAAATCAGGAGGTCAGTGATCCTGAGAGTGTGCTCTAGAAATTACTAGCACTGGATTTTGGTTTCTCATTTGTAAACGATAAAATTAAACATGATGCTATGCTTTTTGTTTCTAAAATTCTTTGAGTGTTCAGTCAACAAGGAGTCTTGGTTCTGCCACTCCCTAACTAGTAGTGGGCCCTAAGCAAATCACTTAACCTGTCATGGTATTTTCCTCATCTAAAAATATGGAAATAAAACCTTTAAACTTAGTACAAAAGGATACTGTAAAAATCAAGTGAGATGATATGTATGGAAAGTACTTTGTAAATTACAAATTAGACAAATGTTACACTTAATAAGTATCATTCCCAGTATGTACTCAACTGATAAATGAAATACTGCATATGATTCACAAATACATTTTCTTCTAAGAGATTCCCATCAAATACCTCTTAAAATCTATGTCATTGAATTTCAATCCTCAGAAGCCTAAAAGCTGGCTGGCATTTAATACTTATTTTAGCACTACTATGATTAAAGATTCTTCCTTTTATTTTCTCCTGATGTAAGATGCAAAGAGTCTATAATTAGCAATGCAGATTAAGGTAATGACAGCAAGTAATCGGATTAAGCAAATAGGAGCATAAGAGAAACAATGGACTTAGAGCAGGGGCAGACACACTAAGGCCCCTTAGCCAAGAACAGTTTATACACTTCAGTCAGCTGGAGAGAAAAATAAATAAAAAGACTACACCTGACTAAAATAAGAACCACGAATGTGAAAATTATATGAAATTCAAATTTAGCAGGGGCAAGAAGAAAGAATTAAAACATTTATGACTCAAAGAAACATTTAATCAGGATTTTGAGAACAAGACATTTTTAAAAAGACAAAGGACAAGAGGCAATGGTGAAACTGATTTCATTAACTGGCTAGAGACAAATCAGGCAAAAATCTAAAATCTACAGTACAGCTACAGGAAGCTAATGGTAGTAACATGGCCAGCCATTATTGAAGAACTAGCTTCGGGTACATTTTCACAATGAAAAACTAGGAATCAGGACATTACCTGGACTGAATTAGTAAAAGAAAGTAATACTTCCAAGATGGAAATAAACATGTTTAATAGAAACTTACTATGCAAGGGATATGAGATATTAAATCCTCTCCCCAAGCAACCTTATAAAAACTACAGTGGTATATACAAATATTAACATAAATTCACCTTTTGTACAAAAATGTTAAATTACAAGAAATCTCACCAGATTTAAAATAAAAAATGAACAGGACACAATTTTAGAGCAGGCAGAGTGAACCGCAGTGACTATTACTGTCACAAGGCCAACACTACTCTGGGGATTCTGGTCTCCTCCCTCGCTCAGAGAACCTCTTCAACCTCTGTGTGCCCAGTCCCCAGTTTTTGAGAGCCTGGGTGCTCAGGGACCCCAGGGGCAAACTTCTTCAGAGAACCACCCTGCTCTGCTGCTGTCTACTTCCCCAAAATGTGACTTCCACCCAATAGCTGGTGGTATGTAATTGCGGGAAAAGGGGTGGGTTAAAAACACCTAGCACCGTTGGCTCAAAATGAGAAAAATTCTGAGGCACAAACACTCCAGAGCCCTGTTTGTCAGGCTGAAATGGGCCTGCTTCACCAACCCCTCCCCCCTTCTTGGTTCCTTCCTCTTTCCCATCCAGCCTCCCACAACTCCTCACTTGTTTCTCCTGGGAAAGTTTCCTTAATAAATCACTTCACTCAAATGCTTGGCTCAAGGTATGCTTCTGAGAGAATCTGACTTAAACCGGCCAGTAAATAAAAACACAGGCCAACTTGGATTGGCACTGTGCGTGAACTCTGCGGCTGTTTGTGTGCATCACAGCTTCTCGGAGCAGGACAGGTGACTTCACTCCTTACACACTGCCTTCCTATGCTCTGCACCCAGGGGCTGCCCCACTCACATCTCACATTCCAGCCTCCTGTGCCTACAGGCTTCCAGAAGGATTCATAGTGTAGAGGACACTGTCAAAGCCCAAGGTCAGGAGAAAGAAAAAAGACAGGCAATTTTGCTCCGATGTCTTTCAGGCTGTCTCTGACCGACCGTTGCTAGGGTTGCTAGGGTTATTCCACGGTGCCTGTTCCTGCCAGGCAGCCTCCTCTATGGTGCCAATTCACACTGACATTTGGATCCTGCCGCCTTCTGTCTTAGGTTTCCGGCAGTGGTTCAACTCCAGGTTACCTCATATTCCTGTTTTTCACTCTTCCAACAACTCTGCAACTGCTTCCTTGTATTAAATTCCCTTTTACCTGTTTTAGACTCTCTCTCAAGCTTGGAATCTGATTCAGCAACTACTTACACTACACTTTCATTATGACATTAAATATATTACTTCAGATATTTCAAAAATCAGTATAAAAAATGTTTCTTAGGCAAAGAATTTGTTCAAGTATTAAGAAATAAGGAAAAAAAGACCTGAAAAATCAAATTAATTTAGAAGACAACTAAAGGTATGATAAGTTGCTATGAAGAAGGCCAAATATCTGTCATGATGCACCAGGGTTATAAAAACTTGTTGCAGAGCTATCTACAAAACATTAGTAGGAGAAAATAAGAAGTAGTATTCAAACACACACCGTTAGGTTCTAAACAAAACAAAAACAAACTGTATCAGCGGGTCCAGGTAACGGGGAGGCTGGGGAATGCTGCAACACGAGTTGTGTGACCAATGCCTCTGTGTATGTCTGGCTCAGAAGATGCGATGCTTATGGATTGGTGCAATCCAAGAACATGTGCCTTCTTACTTTACATTTATTCCTAAAATAAAATGAGTCCAGGTAATACGAGTTCTTTAGGATAAAAACAGACCTCTAATGTAAATGTACTTTTATGTAAGCAATATATGAGAGGTGTGTTTGCTATTACTGGTCTCATTTTACACATAATAGATGTCTAAGAAAAGTTAATTTGCCCAGAGTTACACAAACTTTTAAAATCCTGAAGCTGAGATTTAAATTTCTGTGTCCTCCAATTCTGATTTATTTTTGTTAACCTGGGTATCCTTCGTAAGTTACAAAGGTAATGAACAAACCTATGAGGGCAGGGAAGAAAGGCATTTGTTACTCATTTGCTTTGTTTTTTAAAACAGTTTTATGCATATATAATTCACATGCCATAAAATTCACCCATTTAAAATATATAATTCAATGTTTTTTGGTGTATTACATTACTAATTTTTAAATATTGTAGTCACATGTAACATAAAACATCATTTTATTAAGTGTACAATTCAGTGGTATTAATTACATCCATACTGTTGTACAACCATCACTAGTTCTAAAATTTTCATCATCCCAAAGAGAAACTCTTTAAGCAATAACTCCCCACTTCTCCCACCCCCACCCCTGCTAACCTCTAATCTTTAGCTTTTGTATATATGCTTACTATAATTATTTCATATAAGGAGAATCACACTATTTGTCCATCTGTGTCTGGTTTACTCTACTTAGCGTAATGTGTATAAGGTTCACTGATGATGTAGCATGTGTCACACTTCCTTCCTTTCCATGGCTGAGTAATAATTAACTGAATGTATACACCAAATTTGGTTTATTCATCCAGGTGTGCACAGACCCGGGTCGTTTCCACCTTCTGGCCATTGTGAATGCTGCTGCTCCAATCACAGACAAATAAGAACCTGTTCAAGTCCCCACTTCCAGTTCTTTAGACACATACCTGGTAGCAGAAGTGCTAGGTCACATGGTAACTCTACGTTTAGCTTTTACAGTAACTGCCATACTGTTTTCCACAGTGAATGTACCATTTCACATAACAACTAACAAAGTATAAGGGTCCTAATTTCTCCACATCCTCATGAACATTGGTACTTTTTATGATTGTCCTCATGGGTATGAAGTGGTAACTCATTGTAACTCATCTATAATCATGATTTATGCATTCTACAGGAGTGTACATACGAGAACATTTAGTATAGGAATTAAAATACAATTAATTTTAAAAGCGTGGTAGACTTCCTTTTCTGGTCAAGATTAAGTGACAGGGACCATATTTACCTCCTGCCCCAAACAACCCCAAAACTTCAAAATATATGAAATACTAGTTCAAGACAATGGATATCAGACAACAAACGACAGTGGTTCCTGAGAGAAGGGAAACCCAACCAACAATTTGCCTTCAAAATTGCCCGAGTTTACAATCTGGGAAAAAAAATGTCCAGGTCTTGGCACAGGACAAAGAAATCTCCCTAGGAAGAGATCCATGAAATTCCTGAGTTGAACAGACAAAGCTAAGAATCTAGGGAGACAAAGGCAGTAGAATTCATAGAACAAAGTATTGGAAAGGAGAGAGCTATGCAGAGAACTCCGACTCACATATTCAGCACAAGTATGTGAGGCTATTAGCTGAGATCTGGGAATGAACAACAACTCAGAAAGATTAGAAGAAACAATGCCTGAAACACAAGGCTAGAAATAGTGTCTGTATCCACCTGTCAGACCAGAAACCTCATGATTCATGGAAGACTGGTTACAGTACACTTAATGTTTTTGCCTCAGTGCTGGAAAATAACTAGCCCTAAAATGAGCACTGTTTCACTGTCATTTAACAATCTTATAAGCAAGACTTCAAAGGATCAAACTATTTCTTAACTGTGTCCCAGAACAAAGTTCACAAATATATTTATAAGAATACAAAAATAGCCCTGGCCAGTTTGGCTCAGCGGTTAGAGCGTCGGCCTGCGGTCTGGAGAGACCCGGGTTCGGTTTCCGCTAAGGGCACGTACTTCGGTTGCAGTTTGTCCCCGGCCCTGGTTGGTCGTGCGAGTGGCGACCACTCGATGTGTCCCTTCACGTCGATGTTTCTCTCTCTCTCTCCCTTCCTCTCTCTCCCTCCCACTCTATCTGTACAAAAAATGGAAAAATATCCTCGGGTGAGGATAAAAAAAAAAAAAGAATACAAAAATACCCCTGACATGTTTGGCTCAGAGGTTAGAGTATCGGCCTGTAGACCAAAGGGTCTCGGGTTTGATTCCTAGTCAAGGGCATGTACCTAGGTTGCAGGTTCCATCCCTGGCCTCAGTCACGGTTGTGTGGGAGGCGACCAATGTGTCTCTCTCACATTGACGTCCCTCCTTCCCTCCCTCCCTTCCGCTCTATCTAAAAATCAATGGAAAAATATTCTCAGGTGAGGATTAATAACAACAACAAAAGAATACAAAAATATACAGCAACCGACAAGGCAAAACTCAAAACATTCCACTTCCAACCAAAAGTAACAAGGCACGCAGAGGTGCAGTAAAATATGACAAACTAAAGAGAAAAGTCATGTTAGGATTAGCAGACAAGGACATCAAAGCACTTGCAATTACAGCTGAATGATGCAGATGTCAACCTCCTGCCATCAGAAGTCCATGTATAACTTCTGACTCCCGAAAAAATCAACTACAATCATCCCATGGTATCTGCAGGGGATGGGTGCCAGAAAGCCCACAGATATCAAAGTCTGTGGATGTGTCTGGCCAGTGTGGTTCAGTGGTTGAGCGTCGACCCATGCGCCAAGAGGCCGCCGGTTCGATTCCTGGGACACATGCCCAATCGATGTTTTCTCTCATCGATGTTTCTCTACCTCTCTCTTCCTCTCTCTCTAAACTCAATAAAGAGGAAACAATTACTTAAAAAAAAAATCTGTGGATGCTCAAGTCCCTTATATATAAAGTGATACAGAAAAATGCATATAGTTAGCCCTGGCCAATTTGGCTCAGTTGGTTGAGTGTTGTCCCATGCACCAAAAGGTGGCTAGTTTGACACCCGGACAGGGCACATGTCCAGGTTGTGGGCTTGATTCCCAGTAGCAGGTGTGCAGAAGGCAGCCAGTGATGTTTCTCTCAAAAAAAAAAAAAAACAAACAAAAAAAAAGAATTTAAGCAATAAGCATATCCTTGGGTGAGAATTTAAAAATTATTTGTTATTAACACATCAAAAAAGAAAAAAATGTAATCATAAAAATATTTAATTAATCCTAAAGGTGGAAGAAAGGAAGCTACATAGAAACATAATTTAAATGTAACATATCAACAATCACATTAACTGTAAATAACCTAAATATCATTACAAGACAGAGGTTGATACTGAATAACAAGCCATGATATACTACTTACATAAAATACACTTCAAATATAAAGACATCAATAGATTGAAAGTAAAAGGATGGAAAAATATATTCTACGCCAACACTAATTGAAAGAAAACTGGAAGAGCTATATTAGTATCAGACAAAGTAGATTTCAGCGAACAGGAAATAAAATGGAAAAAAAGATAGTCATTAACAAAATGATGAAAGGGTCATTTAGACATCAGGATGTAACACTCCTAAATGTTCATGCCCCTAATAACATTGTTTCAAAATACATAAAGTGAAAACTAACAGAACTCCAAAGGAAACAAAATCATTGTTTCCAACTTTGTTGACAATTTCAATACCCCTCTCTCAATGGATGACATGAGTAGACAGAAAAATCAGTGAGGCTATAAAAAAATCTGAACATCACCACCAAACAACTTGACCTAAATGACATTTATGGGAGCAACGAAATTAAATAGAAATCAATATTACAAATATCTCTGGAAACTTTCCAAATATTCAGAAATTAACACTCTTCTAAAGTCAAAGAAGAAATCAAAAGTGGAAAGTATTAAGAAATGAATGAAAACACAACATATAAAAATTGTGAGCTGTCACTAAGTACTAATTAGCTAGAGGTAAATTTATAGCACTAAATATCTACATTAGAAAAGCAGAAAGGCCTCAATTCAGTGACCTCAATCAACTTCCAAAAGCATGACACATAAAGAAGTTAGTAAATTATGGAATTCATCAACATTAATAACTTCTGATCTCCAAGGGTATTGTCAAAACAATGCAAAGACAAGCCACACACTGCAAGATAACATTTGTAAGCACCTGATAAAAGACTTGCATCCAGAATACAAAAAGAACTCCCAAAACTTAGTAAGAAGACAAAATTAAATAAAAAGTCCAACTATTTAAACAGGCACTTCACCAACGAAGACATAAAGATGGTAAATGAGCACATGACAAGACGCTCAACATTAACTGGTCATTAGGAAATGCGCATTAAAACCACAGTGAGATACCACTACACACATCTTAGAGTAGTTACAATGAAAAAGACTGCCCACATAAAAAGTGCTGACAGAATCCAGAGCTACTACCCACTGCTGGTGATAATGTAAACCAATTTAAAAAATGTACTCTGGAAAACAGTTTGACAGTTTATCAACAAGTTAAACATACACCTACTATATGATCTAGTCACTCTATTCCTAGGTATTCACACAGGAGAAATGAAAGCACAAGTCCATACAAAAACTACTTGTGTACATGAATGTCGATAGTGGCTTTGTTAATAAGCAAAAACTGAAAACAACCCAAATGTGCTTCAGCAGGTGATAAATAATAAACTGTGGTATATATCTACATAATGGAATATTACTCATCAATTGAAAGGAAAGCAAAATAATTATTCAGAGTGAAAACAGCCAGACCAAAAAAGAATCATATGGTGTGATCCTGATTACATCAGCAAGACTATGAGTGGTTGTCTGGGGATAGGGCATGGATCACAAAGGGGCAGGAGGAAACTTCTGAAGCCAAACTTCTGAAGACACAGTAATTCAATGTCTTGGGTGTGGTGACAGATTCAATGGTACATACATATGTCAAAACAAACCCAATTGTACGATTTAAATATGTATACAGGGTGGGGCCAAAGTAGGTTTACAGTTGCTCATATGGAAAATAAAATAGTTATTAATTAATAATAATACAAAAATAAACTGTGTTTCACATACTCACAACTGTAGACCCACTTTGGCCCCACCCTATATTAACTTTCTGTCAACTACACCTCAGTAAAGCTGGTTAAAGAACCAAAAGGCATGGCAAGAAAGGATACCATGGGTAAAAAGCTTCTTTACTTGTGAAATGACCTTAATACCATCTACCTCATCAGGTTGTCGCCAGGACTAAATGGGGTCACATATAATAGAACAGCACCTCTAGCACAAAGGTGGTACACATTACATAGTAGCTAGTAACAGTAACACACACACACACACATGCATTTTAATACATCATCACTTCTAGGAGGAAGGAGAAACTTTCAGGCGAAAGAGCCAGAGGTCTAACAGAATTCTATTTGGGTGAAGACTAGAAGCAAAGGTGAACAAAAACTGATGTGTAAATGCCCACTAATGTGGTAAACTGTAATCAAGCTGAATTGTTTAGCAGTATACTTGCAAAATTATGTTAGATACTACAGAAAAATAATTTCAAATTATTTCAAAAATAATTTTGTACCTTATTTGATTGTTTAGTCACACTAAATAGAGAAAGACAAAAAAGCAAATTGCCAGAAGCTGTAAGTTTGTTTTAGAAATGATGCCGTTCCATTGTCTGTAAAAAAGATGTTACACAGATTTGAAAATAACCAGTTACTTTAGTCAACCTCCAAATGAAAGCTCTTCTGTATCAGTCCAAAACCTTGAAAGAAGCACTTAAATCAGGTACTATTAAAACTACTGTTCTAACAGTTAGTAGGTGTCTTGTTCCAGTTTAATACAAACTACTGTCACCAGGAAACCCCCTGAGCAGGTACAAAGGCTCCATGCTGCACTGTCTCTGCTCGTCTGGTTGTGCGCCCTGGTGCATGGCTGTACATCACGGAGTACGGAGCACACTATTTTTAGGGTCAAGACTAAGTATCAAATTATTTCTTAAAAGAAAAAGTCTACCCATAGCACCAAAGTTCCAACACACTGAAAAAGCCCAATTTTTATTTTATGTACACAGGTGGACTGATTTAGATACATCAATCCAAAATGATAACAATACCTAAATTTGTAGGAATTTATACAGTATTTTCAAATACATTACTTAGTCTTATCCTCAAAACAGATAGGTGGTATTATACTCCATTTACAGATAGAGAAAATGAGGCTCAGAAAGGTTAAGTGAATTGCTCAGTCTTAAAGCTTGTTAAGTGGGGTGAAACTGACATTCAAACCTAGACCTCCTGATTCAAAAATCTATGTCCTTACCATTCAATAATGCCAACCAGGCCTCAAATGCTGTTACAACACATTTCACAGAAAATTTTTGATGATCCTCTGACAAGTAACAATCTGAATGAAAGTCATGAAACATCAACCTCTCAAAGAACTAGTAACAAGATTGACATATGATATTTCAAAATTTTAAATGAATTTATGCTGTTAAAAGTTTAATTAGAAAAACAAAACAAAACAAAAAAACTTCAGTTCTCATACAAATTGTAATGATTTACCTGAATGAAAAGGAAACTGTTGCTTGGCTTCACCAGTATGCGCATCCCAAATAATTGTTGTCTGAGATTAAATACAAAAGAAAAATAAATTGCTAAGAAGTTAAAAGAACTTATTATGGATGCATAATTAGATTCCTAACTATATTAAAGCAATATGGAATGTCAGAGTGGAATTAATTTTTAACATTTACTTTTCCTAACTAGTACAATAAGGCTATACTCTACTTTCAGGGCTGGGGGAGGGGTATATGACTATAAAGTAGTTTAATTTTTCCTGATGGTTTTTCATCAATCAATTTACTTGAAATAACAATTATTGGTTTGTCAACAAAGTACCAGACATTTTATTAGATTGCTTAAAAAATTCCATTGCTATAGTGTATTTAATGTAACATGTTTTATAGCTATTAAGATATAAGGAGAAAAGTTCTTAGTTAACAAAGTAGTCAGTCAAATCTCAGTATTAAGATTTTTAAAGCTACATTTACATACAAAGACAGCTACTTTGACAATATTTAAACTATCTCTTATATTAATGACATCAAAGTCTGACATGTAAATCTGAATGGATATATTCACCCTCCTCATCACTACTTCTGTAACTGAGGATGGAAAGGACTGCACAGTGCAGTGACTGAACAGGGCTTTCCCCTCTCATTCCGGGCCTCCTTCCCCTTTCTTTCCTTTTTTGTCTCTCTACATACTTCCCTTCTGACTACCATGTATTCTCCCCAGATTACCTACAAGCATGTATTTTCCTAGATTCGTGGTAAAGGGGATGACCTAAGAAAATAAAGGAGAAAGAAGGCCATATTTTCAACCTGCATATTTACCAGCCTAATTAGGTCAAAAAAGCTAGAAAGATCCTGCATTTCTTACATTTTCAATTAAGCACCGGGAGTTCAGCTAATAGACTGGCTCTAAGATTTCCCATGGAATCACTCCAGAACCATACTCACTGATGAGATAAACTAGAAACATTAGAAGGGAAGCAAAGAATATGGGAAGTGTGGTGTTCATTACGGCTCAAATTCCAGCAAAAACGAGTCTAGTCACACAGATAAAGTATAAAAGGCATTCTGATGAGTAGGTTCAGAAATGAGCTGACAAAAAAAAAAATCTAAGAAAGTATTTCTATTACCATCATAAATTCATACCTGATTTTCCCAAATATGAGTGTTTTATTGTTTATGCAATTAGCAGAAAAAATATTATTTTCAATTATACTCTGTAACACATTAACCTTTACAGAATTTAATGTTCTTTTACCTTATCTACTCCAGCACTTAAGATGAAATTTCCTTTCTTATTCCATTTTAATGCAAATATAGGGCCTTTATGCTGCCCTAAGGTGCTAGCAAGATTACCTAATATTAAAAAAAAAAAAAAAAAAATTTAAATTACTTCAAACTTTAAAACTCAGACCAACAACAACAAATAAAAAGAAAAATGTTTCATTTACCATCTTTAGTCCATATTCTGGCAAACCCGTCATACGAACCAGTTGCTAGAAGTGTACCTTCACTCTGCCAGAGAAACATATTCTTTCAATTATGTAGTCCAGAAAGGGCATTTAATCGTTGTTTAGAATATTTCATGTTTAAATCCTAGGTACGGTAAATCCTTGATATTCTCCATTTCAAAACTGTTTCCGTTTTGCCTGTGTGGGAGTGCCGCCCAGGCCCACAGAGCACCCTTCACGCCGGGAGGCTGGGATCCTGATCCTGGCAGCCCTCAGCCAGCCCATGTGCAGGCCTGTGTCCAGATCTCAAGAGATGGCAGGACCTGCCCTGGAACAGGATCCACATCACCCCTGCATGCTGAGGTCTGCTGTATCCTTACTGATGCACGTGTCTAAAGATACAGACTGGGAAGGACATCAGAATCATAGCCTTCTAATGACTGAATAGAAGTAAAAAGCAAAATTTTCCACTTTATTTCATTATGATTAAAAGTTTTTATATGGCCCTGTTAAAACTTTTACTGTCTAAATAAAGTATATGATATGATACAAACAATACTGTTTCATATGACCAGGTTCTTCAATATCATTAATGTTCCTTTCCTTTGTTAATTCTTTCCAAACATGAAATCCTTACCAATAAAAAAAGACAACACAAGAAAAAGAGCCAGAGAAGAGTACAGGTGACTCGACAGTAAAAGAAATTGGGTATAGCTTCCTGGACCACTTTACTAGGAAGAGAACACTCCAGTTCCTCTGATCCTCCACTCCCTTGCTGTGCCTTGCTCTGATGAATGGCACAACGGAGGACAGCTATGACATACTATGAAAATGAGAGTTACAGAGCACATTAAACTGTTGCTGGGATGGGGAAGCCTTACTGGAGACACAGAATGAAATCCTGCCTTACCCAGTACTTTCTTTTCTTATTTTTTAGAGATTGTATTGATGTGAAAGAGAAACATCCGTCAGCTGCCTCCCGCACACCTCCCACAGGGGATATAGCCTGCAATTCCCAGGACCAGCAACCTTTCAGTACATGGGACAATGCTTGCCACACAGGCCAGGGCCTTACCCAGTACTGTGTTGATGCTTTTTGGTAAGGGAACTGAAAATTTCATCATTTTCAGACCTCTCAAGCCACTTAGCTGTACAGGTAAGTAACAAGCAAATGCTAGTACTCGGGTTGTAGAATCAGTCCTGCCAGGATTTAGAAATCCCCTATGGTTCTACCCGAGGATGAGGCATTCAAGTTGAAGCTTAAAGCAAAAGCTTATTTCCAGACTCTGCACAATGGGAAGTTTCTTTTAAACTAGTGGCCCCCAGCCCAGCTGGTGTAGCTCAGTGGTTGAGTGTCAACCCATGCACCAAGAGGTTGCTCGTTCGATTCCTAGTGGGAGGGGGCCAATCAATGTTCTCTCCCATTGATGTTTCTATCTCTCTCTCCCTCTCCCTTCCTCTCTCTCTAAAATCAATAAAGACAAATAAGTAAATAAATAAACTAGTAGTCCCCAAATATTATAGTTCATGATCCACTAAAGATGGAAAAAAAATACTTGATAACGTCAAATATGTCAGGTTCTTGCTTTAGTCGTCAAAAATGACCCTGGCTGGTTTGGCTCAGTGGTTAAAGTATAGGCCCATGGACCAAAGAGTCCTGGGTTCGATTCCAGCCAAGGGCACATGCCTCGGTTGCAGTTCATCCCCAGCCCTGGTTGGGATTGTGCGGGTGGCAACCAGCCGATGTGTCTCTCTCACATTGATGTTTCTCTCTCTCTGTCTCTCTCTCTCCCCCCCCTCACTCTGTCTGAAGATACAGTTGTCCCTCGTCCCTTCACAGTAGAGCGAAGCCACGAAAGTCAAAGCGCAAAGTGGCGAGGGACGACTGTGTATAAATAAAGAATCCTACTTAGCGGAAATTCATTTATCACCGTAGAGTCTAGAACTGATTAACCGCAATAAACGAGGGCAACTGTACATGTGAAAGTGTCCTTGGGTGAGGATTAAAAAATGAAAATAAAAAATAAAAAAAATCACTGATCAAGGATAATGTTTTTGCCTTTTAGTGGAAGATTCAAGTACATAGTGAATAATACATTTTTGAAAAGTCCATGTTTTAAAACTGTAACTTGCAGTTCAGAATCACCAAACTCAACAAGTCAACATTTGTATCATCCTTTTCGGTGTAAACTATAAAAATTTCATTAAATTAACATGGTCTCTGAGTAGTTAAGGAGAAGCCAGGGGGAAAAGATATTCACTTGCTAAGGAAGAGCTTAGGAGCCAACTCCTAAACTTCTTGGTAACATTGAAATAGTCTAAAAGGCTTCTTGGGCGGGGGAGGGAGGGAAGAGAGGTAAAAAGTGGATGCAAAGTTAAGAGGCAACATGGAACAAAGGAAAATATATAGGAACCTTACAAATGCAAATTTTCCACATATTAATCAAGGGAATGGAAATTAATAAAGATGTTAAACTGCGAGGGTGAAGCTTTATCAACAATAAAAACAAACTTTCTGGTAAGTCAGGATAGTCAAGTTATCCCTGAAAGGTGTTAAATCATACAATGAATCAGAGAATTATAAGATTACTACTGCTAGAGTAGAACTTGGAAGTAATCTAGATTAATGGTCCCCAAGAGGCAGTTAGTTGGCAGTGAAGTTTTCATCAGATCACAGCAAAATAAGAAAAATAAGAACATGTTTTTATTATACAGATTTCTCTTACCCCCCAGCACAGGACTTCCTAGCTAAGGACTTAGTATGTGCCTGCCATGGATTTCCATCTATTATCTCACTGGTGTAGGCACCTCTATCACACTTTTACCATACGTGTGAGGAAAAGGAAGCACAGAATGGGCGACCACCAACTTGCCGCAGGTTCTGCTGTTAGATATACTGAAGAGCTGGAAGCCTAACCTTGGTCTGACTGCTCACGGCCAGGCTTTGTTTTTAATACATGTGAGAATAGTTTGTTGTTCTTATTAGTTAGTGAAATTAAAAAATATCTGAACAATGGGACAAACCCTGCCATGAGTCCAAGGCTCAAAGAAGTGTACTAGTATAATTACATCCACCATGGACAACACAGTGGTACTCACATTCCAATCTAGAGAGGTCACGTCCTTGTTGCTTGGGACATCTTGCCCTCCTTCTCGTATACAATGTCTGAGTACTAACTGTGTGGAGCCACTAGTGCTGTTTTCACTAAGATTCCATATTCTCGCTGTTGAGTCTCCGGACCTACAAAGTATGCAATACATTTTAAATCCTCATAATATTCTCAAGTATCCCAGAATTTTAAATAAAAAAAAACAACCATATTTATATCCTACATTAATAAGACAAAACCATAATGTCAGTAATTTCATTTCCAGTATCTCTTTTAGTTTCACTCTGAGAAACATACCCCGATGCCAGGAGATCACTAACAGGGTTCCAGGCACAGATGAACACCTCAGACTCATGACCCCGTAACACGACTGCCTTGTTAGGAGGAATTTCAACATCCCCATCCACCTCCATCATATCAGTATGATTATCTGCAGCACATGAAACAAGTGGAAAATTCCAGTTAAGTAATATTACAACATGCAGGGGGAAATACCTCCTTTATAATACATAGTGTAACTTGACTGCAGAGTATTATCACATGGGGAATGAATTCTTATCTTCAGTTAAGTACGACCGCACTATATCTGAGCATGTGTTTAGAGGTAGGGCTGGCGGGTGAGGGTAGAAACAGACTGCAAAAGGTTAGACCCACAAACATGACTAACATGATCAAGCAGTTTGAACTCAATATAATCCCTGCCAATACTATTCTGAGTTCCCGCCAGTAGGGGTTGCTGATATCATTCCTAGAACATGAGAGCTGCCTTTATATCTCCATGTCAGAGCTTCACTGTGTTTGTTAATGACCAGTATTATAAATTTTATTTAGAAATCAAATGCAGACACAAAATTCATTTAACCAAAGAAAAATGATTTCTAAATATGTTTTTGAAAACAAAATAAAATCCATAAATGTAAGCCTAGCTTTCTGGAGCTTGAGGGATTAAAGTCTGAACTGTGTGACAGGAGGTAGGGGAATACGTTGGCATAAATGAGAGATGTTATTTTAGCTTAGAAGAGGCATGCATGGACATCCCTTTAAAGCAAAACATGTCTCCTGAAAAGGAATTTTTAAAAATTATCTCAGCTCACTTGCTATAGTATGTGCTCCATTCTCCTCCCCGTTTGCTGTGTTTTCTCCATTTTTTGCAGATCCTTGTTGGTTGGTAGCAGCTGCGGCAGCTGCAGCAGCTGCAGCTTGTTGCTGTGCAAGCTTATCTCTGTAAGCTTGTTGTCTTGTTTGTACTACATCAGGCATTACGGCATCTATCAGCGACAGAGACTCTATTGGTCGACCATCGAACAAGGTACCATCCTGGATTTGAAAAATTATGAGAGAAGAAAAAAATCAAAGGTAACACATTTAGGGTAATTTGTATTCATACAAGTCAACAGCAGAAATGAAAAGCCCCATTCCAAGACAGAACACTTTTAGATAATTTTCTGAATGTACGCAAGAAGGAAAGGAGTCAGAGGGAAGAAAGAAACATCAGGAAGCAACTGCAAGTAGCTGTTTAATTATTTCTCCTCACCTGGTTCACATTGTTATATGTTGCACAGATAAAGCTGAAATACTGAAAGAAGTAACAAGTAGGTCCACATAATGGAAAGGATTATTAATTATATTCCAAAATTCTATTAATCAAAAGCAATGACCAATATGAAATCATTCCACACAATCTACATTATAGAAAATACTTTTTTAAAACCAAAAACTTTAAAAAAAAAATAGCTTTGTTGAGCCCAGCTGGTGTGGCTTCGTGGTTGAGCGTCGACCCATGCACAAAGAGGTCACAGGTTTGATTCCCAGTCAGGGCACATGCCCAGGTTGTGGGCCAAATCCCCAGTGGGGGGCATGAGGAGGTGGCCAATCGATGTTCACTCTCATCAATGTTGCTATCTCTCCCTCTCCCTTTCTCTCTAAAATCAATAAAGGAAAAATAATAGCTTTGTTGGACTTGAGAGTTTCTTGTGATTAGATTAAAATATTAAAATATAAAGACCTCAGATACTATGCCACACAATATTTCATTTTATTACCATTAAAGTTCAAGCTTAATAAGGTTTAAAGACCTGCTGCAGTTAAACACCTAATCAACAGCAGCTGGCATCTCTTAACCAGTGCTACTCAAAGAGTGATCCAATGACCACTATCACCTGGTAACTTATTAGAAATGTAGATTCAAACCTACAGAATCAAAATCTCTGAAGGGCTTAGGAATTATTTTTAACAAGCTCTCTGGGGTAGTCGTATGTGCACTGACAGTTGAGAAGCAACATCTTAACTCATAGGCTAGCACTCTTTAATTTTATGGACTTGTTATAATTTTCCAAAGCTCCTTTCATGGATAGTAGGAAGTTCACAATTAATAAAAGTTCTCCAGCAAGCACAAGAAGAGACACAAACACAGAGCAAGTCAGAAACAGAAACTGTAAGTTAACACTATGTGTGTGTGAAGCCTGGCTTGCTGAAGCCAATGACCACGCACTCCTGACAACCTGCAGTGGTGATGGGTGCTCTGAGCTGCAAAAACACCGCATATGGTTCTAAGTTGTCAAGTACTAGAGTATTTGAGGAGCAGGTGAAAGTATTTTAATTTATAAGTAATTTAAAAATATATTACAACCAATACAGACACATTGTGGAGTATTATATTAAATCTACAAAAAGATTTTCAGATAAAATAAGACTTCATCTCTGGCTACTGGTGGAAATTGTTTATCACTCTCTGTAAAGGATACTTTTAGAGGGAAAGTGCTCTAAGACAGTGAGGACACATTTAATTTAGTATTAGCAAATTTCTCCGAGATGATAAAACAAAGGCAATCAAATTAATTTTAGTATACTATATAATTATAGTAATAAATACTGATATAGAAGCCATGGATGTTTCAGTTTTAAAAATACTTATGAAAGTATTTGTTCACATATTTTTGTGAAGGGAAAGGGGGAAGATATTAATCTCTGAAATAAAAATAAGGTAAATGCTCCACATTGTCATAGATCCTGACTATATATGATCCTGACCAGCGTTTGCAACTTTTTCTGTAAAGACCAGATAGTAAGTATTTTAGGTTTTGCAGACCGTAAGTTCTCTGTCACAACTACTCAATTCTGCCACAGAAGCACAAAATTCGCCAGACAGTATGTCAATGAATGAGCATGAATGTGTTCCGATCCAACTTGACACTAACAAGCAGCAGGCACAATTTGGTTCATGGGACACAACTGGCTGACACCTGAGTTAAACTACCAATATATGGACCTAAAATAGGCGATAGTTAATCACTTGAATTAAATGTGCAATGGGAAGAAGAGTGGGGGTGTGGAATTGGGAGATGAACCTAGACAGATAAGTAAGGTCTGATTACAAAAGTAACAAGTATAACCAAATAAGTTGAGATTTTCTAATTTTTCAGACCATCAATTATGGTCCTAGCATTCTACAGCATAGTGCTGTTGTTTTAAAAAATATATATTTCTTACTGTTTACTTATAAAACCATTTATTTTTTTAAATATTTTTCTTTATTGATTTTAGAGAGAGGGAAATATTGATGAGAGAGGACATCAATTGGCCACCTCCTGCATGCCTACCACTAAGGATCCGGCCCACAACCTGGGCATGTGCCCTGACCGGGAATTGACCAATGACCTCTTGGTGCATGGGCTGCCGCTCAACCAGTGAACCTCATCAGCTGGCCACTTATAAAACCATTTGAAGTGAAATAAGCTACAGAGATGGCTATTGGGAGCCAACATGCCTTGCCTATGTGACCTGACCACTACCTTATGAACAACGCCCTTCAATTTTGTTAACCCAGAGAAACTGAAGGCAGATAATGAATGAGCAAACAAAATGTCAGTCTTATCTAAGACTGAACATATGTAAGAGTAAGAATATTTCAAATAAGTCTTCCTTACCTCATTAATACTAACTTCTGCCTCTACATACTGTAGACCTTTCTGGATGATAGAAATCAATGCAGCAGGAGGGACGAGGGCACCATTTATGTTTGACTGACTGATATGGCTTTCTATACCAAAAGTAAACGCCGAATGAGAAAATCCTAAAAGCAAAAGAAAGGTTATAACAAGTTATTCTCCTAGTGGTAATATACTATATAAGACACAAACGAAAGACTTATCATCTTTCAAAATTACATCCCACCTATTTGAAATCCCAGCAGACTGGTAGCTAAGGTCAAATAATGTTTTTAAACAAAAGAAATATCAAAATCCAAACATGTTAATCTTTATGTATTTTTTCACTTTAATTATGTAATGCGCTATTTACAATTTCTAGTACATATAAAATTTACCAGCGGCAGATAATTTCCCTCAACAAACAGCGTCAAACTTTAAAGTTGGAAAAAAGCATTTGAAAATCATGTGACTCAAATACTTCACTCAAAATCATTTAGGTCAAGATAAATTAAGTGACAGTTAATATTTTTATAATATATTTAAATCTCTACATACAAATTGTCAAGCACCTTATAAATTCAATCTTTTGCAGGTTTTTAAAAAGTACTTACTAAAAAGCAAACGCTAATATATGAAAATTGAAATTTAATAATGAAAAATAACTTTATACTTAAAACCCAGGGTATGAATTAAGTGCTAAAAAAAATTACTAATTCTTTGCCACTCAGTTAATAACCCACCTAAATGAAAGCTTTAGAAAATGAGTTAGTAAGTGAAAATCTAATCTGTCTCCATTAGCAATCCTTTAATTTTTATTTGAAATACTTAAAACCAAAACACTCACATAACAAAAATCTCTTTGTTAGCCTTGCTTTTTATGCAAGCCAAGTTCAAAGTGAAAAGTAAAATTCTAGTAAACTGATAGACCAAAAGGTAATAAAAAAAAATCTACCAGAGCTTATCATTAAGTAGTAATTGTCACTAATGTATTTAAAACAATTAAATGACACATGTAAACACAAAATGTTAAGAAACCTTCATACTGCCTGGCCAGTATGGCTCAGTGGATTTGAGCATCCATGCCCAGGTTACAGGCTGGTTCCCAAGTTGAGGGCATGTTGGAGGCAGCTGATCAATGTTTCTCTCTCACATCAATGTTTTTCTCTCTCTCTCTCTCTTCCTTCCTCTCTCTAATAGAAAAGAAAAGAAAAAAAAACATTTAAAATAAAGAAACCTTCATACTAAATAAAGTAAATAAATATGAGCTTATTTGGGTCTTGGTTAAACTGATTTAAGTTTTTAGTACTTAGTCCATGTACTTTTTTTTTGCACGTTATGCCCCATGTGGCACTTACTATAGTGCAGTACTATGGGCTCACAAACAGCATGTGGCTAGAGAATGTTTAATATTTCAGTTGTCTAACAGACAAGGTACATACACCCAGGCTGATTTTCCTCATGGCTCCTTCCCTCTTTAGAATACCTAACCATTCCATTCCTGTAACTATCCACGGTGAGAAACAAAAAGATGTTATCTTTAAGACTTTCATTTTAACCTCATGATTCTGCCAACAGGCAAGATCATTTTGGCTAAAACATACCAATGGGAAAAACCCACCATTCTGTACACTGTCCCTTATCAGGAAACCCAAAACTACTTGAATATGAGTTGACTCCAGATCACCAGGGTAGAAAGCTGAGAATAAAGACTAGGAAGGATGGAGAGAAAGGGAGAAACATGGCTGTGAAATCCATAAGCAGTGAGGGAGATTTTATTTTAAATTACATACCGCTCTCTAAATAAATTCTGCAGCAAATCGTGAATAGGAAAAAAAGCTAAACAGCCAAGTGGCTTAGAGATTTAGGATATTAAAATTTAAGTAAGATTTCAAGATAAATGGTATTTATGGAGGGCCTTCACCATGCACCATGCATATATAATTGTATTACTTTATAATCTAAATTAGTAAATGGGAAAACAGCTGTTAAGAGAGTAAGAATTCATTCAGAGACCATGGCCATAACTACTACACTTTACTGTTCCTACTAAACAGCTAGAATATTGTAAAAAATAAAGCTAAGGCAGAGTGAGCTCCTGTTCACTAATAGCAAACAAACAAACAAAAAAATCGCATCATTGTTCTTCTGTTTCAACTTAGTGTTAGAAAATGGTGTCAGTAGTGCATGAACAACTAAGACACCTTATTAACAAGGTTTTAAAAGTGTTTTGATTTCATAAGCCTGATAAATTGTAGCAAAGTTCAAGATTTCAGCACTCTCTTAATTCATGAGTACAATTTAAAAAATAAAAATCATTACATTTAAACCTTGTTTAATTAGATGACATGGTCCAAGCTTATGTCCAAGAATATCTTGAGAGTTGCAGGTGGATATTCAAGAGATTTCAGTTTTGGGCTGGAAAGCTGCATATATACTCAATTTGGTCTGTCAGACAGGAGAGAAGCTATCACCAGTGCTTACGCACGTACTTAAAATGTTCTCCAATAGCAAGAAAGCGACCCTGAAGTTGTCATTAGCATTGTTTGGCAATTCTCATTATGTTTGCTCTAAAGAAGGTTCAACACTTAAACACTCTGTAAATAAATGTTGGATTCAACTATCATTTTTCCTTTATTTCTAGTCACAGTATTAAATGCCAGTTTAAAATCATTATGTTCAAAATTACTTCTCTTCTTCCCCTCCTTACAACTTTTTCCTTAGAAATATATGACCTTAGAGGCTTTTCTTAACCTTTCATCACCTGCAGACTTCCTCCCCTCTAGAGTCCCTCCTTCCCAAAGCCTCTGCCACCAGAATCTTCCCTCCAGAACTGACAGTAAGAAGTCAAACAGGCCCTGGCAGGATTGGCTCAGTGGCTAGAGAGTAGGCCCGCTCTATGGGTCACAGGTTCCATTCCTGGTCAAAGGCACCTAACTGGGTTGCGAGTCAGATCCCCAGTCGGGGTCCTCAGGGAGACAACCAATGGATGTATCTCTCTCACATGATGTCTATCTCCCCCGCCCCCCAATACCCTCCACTCTATCTAAAAACAAAACAAAACAAAACAAAACAAAACAAAACAAAACAAAACAATGGAAAAATATCCTCTGGCCCTGGCCGGTTTGGCTCAGCGGTTAGAGCATCAGCCTGTGGTCCGGAGAGACCCAGGGTTTAGTTCCCGCTAAGGGCATGTACCTCGGCTGCAGTTTGTCCCCGGCCCTGGTTGGGGTCGTGCGGGAGGCAGTCACTCAATGTGTCCCTTTCACATTGATGGTTCTCCCCCTACCCCCCTACTCTATCTGAACAAAAAATGGGAAAATGTCCTCCGGTGAAGATAAAAAAAAAAGAAAGAAAAGAAAAATATCCTCTGGTGAGGATTAAGAACTAAAGAAGTTTCTGACCTTACTTCTTTACGCCTGAAAGTTACCCTCACTCCTACCCCTGCCGCTGGTGTCTCATCAGCCACCAAATCCGATCAATCCACCTCTCTGCTCTCTGTCCTCGGCTTTCTTTCTCCGCCAAAACCTGGAGTTTAGTCCCCATGATTCTTCGCCTGGACTATTACTACCCTAAATTCCTTTTGTCTCTTCCCCAATTCATATATCTGTGACATCACAGCTAAAATACTGCTTGTTAAACAAAAACTGATCCTATCACTCCTTACTTGAGCACTGTCAGTGATTCCTTTGGTCTTCATAATAAAGGCCAAACTCTAAGTATGCCACACTGTTACTTCGCAATCTGATCTTATTTATCCCTCCAGGTTCATCTCCCAAATCCACACCTCCCCACTTCTTCCCACTGCACATTTAATTCAAGTGATTAACATTACTTGTAACACCTTGAAGCTGCGGTGTCATCTCATGCCTTTGGGCTTGTGTGTTCCTACGCTCTTTTCTCCTAACTAAATGGCAGTGAAGTCCTTCCTTTCACTGCCCTTAGGCTGATTATTCCCTTCCATGCTAATCCTTAACTTGTATAGCACTTACCACCCTGTCTGTGTCTATGGTTCTGTGCCTGTGTGTGCTGGGGTGCCTGAGGAGAGGATTTATGTCTAGTAATCTTATAATTCTGGAAGAACACAACATTGCCTAATATATCCAGTACTCAATAAATATTTGTTAAATCAGAGTACAATTCTACTATAATGCATCTTGGCACATCAGAAAACCTATGAATCCAGACAAAGCATATGACTTAAATTTTCCTAGAAAAACAAATGTAAAATTTGAACCAGGTTTATGCTAGAAAATATTTCCATGTATCTGTAAATATACATATGTAGGAAATATTTTTTCAGAGACAGCTTGTGACTTATAAAATAGAAGGCAAAAGGGATCAACCTAAATCTGTGAAATACTTAAGTCTGGTCTTATTGCCTAAAATAGCACCCCTTCTTTCCAGGGGTAAGAGCAAGTCTGATACAAAGAATACCTCCATCCCTGGCCGGTTTGGCTCAGCAGTTGGAGCGTCGGCCTGGGGTCCCAAGAGACCCGGGTTCGGTTCCCCCTGGGGGCACGTGCCTTGGTTGCAGTTTGTCCCTGGCCTTGGTTGGGTCGTGCGGGTGGCAGCCGCTCGATGTGTGCCTTTCACGTTGATGTTTCTCTCTCTCTCTCTCTCTCTCTCTCTCCCCCCACCCCCACCCTCCCGCACTGTCTGAACAAAAAAAAAAAAAAAAAAAGGAAGGTTGTCCTTGGGTGAGGATAAAAAAGAATACCTCTGGCCCAGCCAGTGGGGCTCAGTGGACTGAGCATCACTACATGAGCTGAGAGGTCCAAGTTCGATTCTCTATCAGGGCACATACCTGGGTTTCGGACTTGATCCCCAGTAGCAGGTGTGCAGGAGGCAGCCGATTGATGTCTCTCTCTCACATCGATATTTCTATCTCTCTCTCCCTTCTTCTCTAAAAAAAAAAAAAAAAATTCAGTAAAAAAAAAAAAAAAAAAAAGCACACACACACGCCCCCAAATCCCTTTCCCACTCTGTCCTACAGACCCAGATTTTGTTTACTCTGGAAGTTCCACAATTGTTAGTCATGGGGATGTAATGCACAACACTGGGATTATGGTTAGTAATATTGTATTAACTACATATAGTGCCAGGTGAGTACTAGACTTATCGGGGGATCACTTCTTAAGTCATA